ATGAAGCTGTTGGTTACACCAAAACCATAAGGATGAGATAGCAGCCATGAAAATTAGGGCCCAATTACTGCTGCTAACATCAATCCAAGGGGGTTTGCCCATATTCACATCAATCCAAACCGCTAAAGGAAGAGAAAAGAACTGCAACCAATGAGAAGGAGGGATAAGCTCAGACCAAACACTTTTCGATCATTGGCAATCTCGAAGTGCATGAAGTGTAGTCTCAGCATGGTATAGACAAATACGACAAGATGAATCAACACTCAAATGTCGTTGATGCTTCATGGCAATGGTTAAAAGGCGGTCCCTCCGTGCAAGCCAAGTGAAATGCTTCTATCTATTAGGCCCCACACTACTCCAGATCTACTTCCAGCCCTTTGTATGATCATCCTGTAGGAACCCACATTTTATGTTCTCATCATGTTCATGAGCATCTGTATGATTATGACTTGTTAAGTTTGCATGTGTATGTTGTGATTTGTTTCGCTTGAGCTAATGTGATCCATGCCTTGTTTTGAAGCCTTGTGATTTGTCTAAGTGTAGTATGCTTGTCTTGTTCCTTCCTTGATGTGAAACTTAGGTCACGCCTTGCCTGAGTTATGCTAGCCGATGTTATTCCAAGCCGAGGTCATCCTTAGTCTAGTAGTATCCTGGAACCCCTTGTTGACCTCCATCCTTGCCTTGACCACATTAGCCGAGATGTTACCTTGCACCCAAGTGATCTCGTCCTGGAGTGGTATGACCTAGGCCGAGGTGTGGCGCATCTAGGCCAAGATGTGGCACAGCTTAGTCAAGTGTTGTCCTTCCTAGCCGAGGTCATTGTCACCTTAGTGCCGAAGTCCTTTGTTAGCCAATGTCACCCCTTGCCGGAGTGCCATTCCGTATAGCTTGTTAGATACGCCTTGTTGGTAGCCGATGCCATTGCCCCGTCAGAGAGCCCATACCGCTTTGCTTGTTGAACACCCTTCCACCATGCTTTGTCTGGTCTGTCAGCCACCTTTTCAGAAAGAACCCAACCAGTCGCCGCCACGTGTCTCAGCAGAGGGTTAACCCCAGAACCGGGTAGAGAAAACTATCATTTGGTGTCATAAACTTGCCTTGTAGAGAGAGAAGCTCTAGGAGGAAGAAAGAGTTTTAGAGTGAGGAAGTAGATCTTCAAGCTTGATTCCTAGAGATCGAACCGTTAGATCCGTGTTCTAAGGTTAGATTCTTGATCTGCTCATGATGTTCTCTATGTTCATGTTATTGCATTGCATGATCGGGTATGATTTGTAAGCCATGCATCGTTTTGAAGTTCGATTTTAGAAAGAGAAAATGACATCCATGTGTTCTTCAAGAAAGTCTTGTTTTGATCCGAAAGCTTGCATAAAGAATCATGTTTTTGTGTTTAGTTCCGCAAGAATTCCAAGTACGGGTACCCAGGTTCATGTTTTTGAACTCATAGCACGAAAATCCCAGATTTGTGATGTCGATTTTAGAAAGAGAAAATGGCATTCATGTGTTCTTCAAGAAAGTCTTGTTTTGATCCGAAAGCTTGCATAAAGAATCATGTTTTTGTGTTTGTTTCCGCAAGAATTCCAAGTACGGGTACCCAGGTCCATGTTTTTGAACTCATAGCACGAAAATCCCAGATTTGTGATGACAGATTATGATTGAGCATTCATATTTTTCATGTTTTCACACTCATGTTCTTCATGTTCATCAGCAGAGGGAAACCCAGAGTTTCCCGACCTCTTTTTCTTGCATGTGGCCCTCGGGAACACACCTCGGCGAGGAGGTGTGGGACCTCGACCTAGACCTGGTTAGTGCCCAGCGTGTTTTTCCGAGATCATTTGCATACATAAGAGACTTGTTTGAAAGTGCATTCAATAGGCTTTGCCCTGTGTTTGTAGGACTTGGGCTTGTCTCGACCCCGACGTGTGAAGAAACTATGTGAGTGGTATTTTTAATAAAGCTATGTTACACTTGCTTTCATAAAATCTCGTCTTGCCTTGTTTTGAAAAGTACTTGATCTAGCATGAATGACTATCCCTACTTGTATATTAAACACTATCTTGTTTTGATGACATGTCTTGAAAGTCTTTAGCTGCAGGGGACTATAATGCAACTGCACTCTTGTCTTGAAAGTCCTTAGCTGCAGGGGACTATAATGCAACTGCACTCTTGTCTTGAAAGTCCTTAGTTGCAGGGGACTATAATGCGACTGCACTCTTGTCTTGGAATTGTCATCACCCTCTTGTATTAATTAGATGTAATAACATCCAAAGAACTTGAAAGGCCGGCAATGAACTTGATTTCCCCTTGATTGTAAAGTATGCTACGTATTGTTTTGAAAGAAATCTTGGATATCAATCATGCAAAACCTTTATTTCTAATATCATTCACTGAGTATCCAAGCTCACCCTCTCTATATATATGTAGGTGACGAACAAGAAGGCATTGAGGCCTAGACGTGATGCCGATGTATTTTTGGGTGCATTGCCGACATGTTTTGGATTAGCATTTTGTACCATCTTGAAGATCATGCTTCTCGACTTGTTTACCTACGTATCTGTAGGAACCCACATTTTATGTCTTCGTCATGTTCATGAGCATCTGTATGATTATGGCTTTTTGAGCATAAATACTTACATCGTACTCCGTGCCAAAACAAAGAACTCGTTAGCAAACATGCATGATCCAAGTCCATGTTTAAATTGCCTAATGCAACACATACAGGATGCTATTAGATAGGCTCGGCTAACCCTCATGGACTATTTAGATTCTGTATATTTATATATATTGCTTCCGCACTTGTAAGCCCCATATTTTATACTCTGATTGTGTGTGATTTTGTAAGTCGGCCTTCGGTAATCTCGGATTACTGGCCATCACGGCACCAAACTACTAGGGGCGGTTTGGGGGCGTGACACATCCCTTGGGGGATCATGCTGCTGAATAAGAGAGTAAGTTGATTTAGTGGAAAAGGTTCCATTGGGGGAGTGCTTCCAACTTAAAAGGTTAGGATTGCCATCATTCGTTCGAACCACAACGGCACGCAAAGTATCTAAGTCTTCACTAGGGAGCCAACGAGCCAATCTGTGCCAATCCCAATCAGTTCCATCAACCTAATAGTTGCAAATTTTGAGCAAAAGTTCAGGTGCTGGGAGGGGAGAAAAAACACGCTATTGAAGAGGGGAGTCACCCTACCACAAGTCTGTCCAGAAATTTATCATTCGGGCATTGCCCACACGCCAGCGGGATCCATCTCTTATCACCGAAGCTCTCTTGGTGATACTACACCAGGTGTAAAATGAGTTGGTGGGGCAAGGATCCGACAACTTTATCCTGTCTGGTAGATATTTGATGTGAAGAGCACTAGCCCAGGGTACGAATTCATGTAACACACGCCAACCCAACTTGGCCAACAAGGCATTATTGACATCCCTCATCTTTCGTAGACCCAAACCCCCATCTCCTTTTGGCAGACACATATCCTCCCAAGCCACAAGAGACATGCGCTGTTGCACTTGATCACCACTCCAAAGAAATCGACGGTGAAATTTGTCAATAGTTGAGCACACTGAACCAGATGTGTAGATTGCATAGCATAGGCAGGTTTGGAGGAAGAGACCGATTGAATAAGAGTAGCTCGGCCAGCCAGAGATAGCTGATGAGCTTTCCACCCCACTAATCTGTTCCGGACCCAATCAAGAATTATACGTGCCTTTTGACATGCGATTGTGTAACAAAGGGACACCTAAATAGTTACCCAAGTGAGAGGCAATAGGGATGCCACTGTCCAAACTCAGATCCTACCCAGTTTTTCTAGGAACAGCTGGAGGAAAAAATATCCTAGATTTCGGGAAATTAACTCGTTGGCCCGAGGATGCACAAAAGAATTGCATGAGATGCTTAATGACCGACATCTGTTTGGTAGAAGCCTCCCCAAACAGAAACATGCCATCCGCAAAAAAAAAAAGATGTGAAAAGCTAGGCCCTTGCTGAGAAACCTTACCTGGTTTCCATTGCCACTGGGTGACTGCCTCAGATATACTCCGCCCCAGTTTTTCAAGACAAAAGAGAAAGAGATATGGTAAGAGGGGGTCCCCTTGACGCAGTCCTCTAGAGGGTTGAAAATATGGAGTAATCTCACCATTCCAGAGAATTGTAAGTTGTGTCGTAGACACACATTGCAGAATTAGAGATGTCCAGGAAAGAGGAAAGTTCATTTCAGTTAACACCTGTTCCAAGAAGCTCCATTCTATCCTGTCGTATGCCTTTTCCAGATCGATTTTTATTGCCATTGTACCATGGGTATTTTTAGACTTCTTCATGGAGTGTAACAGCTCTTGAACCAACACAATATTGTCAGTTGCTTGCCTTCCTGGAATAAAGCTACCCTGAAAAGGGCTAATCAACTTAGTTAAGAGGGGCCTCACTCTAAACACCCTAATTTTGGAGAGAATCCGCATAGAAACATTACTGAGGGAAATAGGTCGAAAGTGGGTCAAACTTGAGGGGTGATCATTTTGGGGATAAGTGTAATCAAGGTTTTATTCAAATCCACAAGAATGTGCCCTGACTGGAAAATATCCTGAATCACGGTGGTGAGAGTAGGCCCACAAGTATCCCAGAAACGTTGGTAGAAAAAAGGTTGAATCTCATCCGGTCCAAGGGCCTTAAAGGGGCCTAAAGAAAAAACTGCATTTTTAACCTCCATAAGGCTGATAGGGTGCGCTAGCGCAGTCACCTCTTGCGGTGTTAAGCAGGGCAATGACTGAGGTAAAGTAGAAACAGGGACCCTCAACTTCAGTCTTAAACAACTTCTGGAAGTGCTGAACAGCTCTAGCTTAAAGCTCAATTTGGTTTGTGCACCAAGTACCATCATCATTTTTTAAAGCCATGATCCTATTGCGCTTGCGTCGAATAAGGGTCGAAGTATGAAAGAAATGAGTATTGGCATCACCAAACATGAGCCAGTTGGATCTGGATTTCTGGTACCGAAGCAATTCCTCTTGCTACAATAGCTGATTATACTCAACGATGAGGTGAGATTCAAGATCTTCAAGGAAAGGATTGGAAGCCAAACTCAAAGCTTTTTGAATACCATGCAGTCTTGCTAACACACGCTTTTTATTCCAAAAAATATTCCCAAACACCTCCATGTTCCAAGTAGTAGCTGCAGCCACGAACCGTTCAATTGTAAGTGACAAGTCTTTCTTACTAAAGTTCCACGATTGCTGCACAAGGGTTTCAAATGTAAGGTGGGTTAACCACACAGCCACCATTTGAAACGGACGTCTCAAGGGGTGAGGGACAACCCCAAGAAGTGAAATAAGAAGTGGATAGTGATCAGAATTAACTCTGGGAAGATGTTGGACCCAAGCTTCAGGAAAGAGGGTATGCCACTGGTCATTACAGAGAGCTCTATCAAGTCTTTCTTTAATATTCGCTAGGCCATGACGGCCATTGGTCCAAGTGAATTTGGGTCCCGAAAATCCCAAGTCAGTCAAATGGCATTCATCCATAACTTGAATAAATCGCGAGAGGCGTCGTTGGGTGGAGGGTGCACCTCCTTGCTTCTCAGCATTGGAACTTATTTCATTGAAATAAGCCAAGGAAGGGAAAGACCATGAGCAACATCCACAAGATAATTCTATAATTCCGAATGAGAAGTAAAGTTTGGACTAGCATACAAAGCTGTGAAGAGCCAATCTGCTTCATTCTGTCTCCGAATAATACCACTAAGAGCTTGGGGATTGGGGGGGAGAACTTCCACTTCCACTAAGTCAGCACACCAAAACAACCAAATACCACCAGCAAAACCCGTAAAGTTGAGTTCGTCGAATTATTCGTTTTGCTTTATGGCTTGTAACACGAGTCTCAAGTAGGACCAAAATAACAAGGTCATGAGACCTAACAAGTTTGCATATTGTCCTAAACGTGGCATCATTACCAGCTCCCCTACAATTCCAAACAAGAAACTTCATGGAGTTGGCCAAAAAAGGAAGGGCCAAAGGCCATATCATATGTCCATCACAGTTGACCCAGGTCGGTCAACCCTTGTTGCCGTAGCTGCTACAATAGACCCATGCTCATCTAGAGTTGGGTAAGAAGCATCTCGATATTACACTATTTCCTCATCGGAATACGGTGGGCAGCTTGCACCATCAGCTAGGTCACATCGATTGACGAGTAGAGAGTGACTAGAGTTGGGCAAGATGTCTGGTGGTCGACCAAGAATGGTAGTGACCATCTGATCAACAGGTAAGGAAGGAGTGGGAGGGATGGGAGGTAGGGTGACATGATGGGCTACCAAAGAGTGGCCATCTTGACTCTCTCTCCTACTTCCTGAACCTCCTGTCATGAAGGATCGGAGGGGGGGGAAATCTTGTAAAGATGGGGAAGGATTGAAGAGAGCTAGATTTGGGGTGGGGCTTGGGTGGCTGGGGGCTTTATTTGGACTAGAGGCAACCTGCAGATGGGGGTCAGGTAATTTACACCGTGGGCTTTGAGGGAGAGGCTTTTTGGAGTGAGCTTGAAAGGTTAGAGGGATGGATCGGGAGGCATGTCTAGCAGAAGGCCCAATATTAGCAGCACAACCTATAGAAAAAGGGCCCAACCCTGTTGTATCCAAAGAAGGTGTCGGCCCAACTTGATCAATGAAGGCATTACCATGGTCATCCACTAGGGCTGAAAATCGATTACCCATATTACCACGTGGCACCACAGCCTTACCCTTCTGTACAGTTGAATATGCACTAGCTGGACCCGCTATCCTCCTCCTACCATTACCAGTGAATGAGGGATTATCCATTTTGTCATAACCTGTACGACCCGTGCAGCCGACTGTACCCCGAGAACGTGATTGGGCAAGCATCCATGGTCCAAACTTTTGCCCTGACTCGACACCGGTGTGCAAGGAGTCGATAGCCGGCGCCCCGGGCATAGTATCATTCCCAACTTCCGTCACCATAGTTGGCATTAACGATGGACACCCCTCTTGTTTGTGTCCATACTTCCCATATTCAAAGAAAATAATGTGTAAACCTTCATATTCAACAACAAATTCCATATTGTCGATACCCACCTTGGAGAGAGCATCCTTGAGGTTAAGCTCAACACAGACCCTAGCAAATCTCCCTCTCGATGCATCCGCTATAAGCTTATCTGTTTTGACAGCTCGACCAACCAAACTACCTAATCTAAGTAGTAGGTTTTCATTAAAGTATTCAATTGTCACTCCCGAAAATCGAATCCAAACCATGGTAGACGGTAGTTCATTGGCAAGTGGGCGAAAATCTGGGCACCATTTACTGACTGTTAGATAATGCCCAAGAATAACCCATGGTCCATCCAACAGAACATGGAGATAATCGGCCTTACATGCAAATCGAACTAGATAATAGCCCTCACCTACATCAACTACATTAATAGATTGTTAAATCTGCCAAATCTGCTTCATCCTTTGTGTCAATAGACGATATCCGACGGCACGCCCTAGAACCTTGACTCTAAGGGCCTTACGCCATGGAGCTCGAAGGGTTGACATTTCTTCAGGTGGGACTGTGATTCTGGGGCAATCAGAGACCATCTGGGTGTCAGCCGCCTTGTGTAGGGTAGTTTCCTCATCGTTACGGTCGCCCTGGTACCAGAGCTTGGTGTTGTCGCTAGTGAGGGCCTCCATGAAAGACGAACCAGGCAGCCTTGAGTTGGTGTGAGATACCTCATGAGCTTCCCCAAAGTCCATGCCAAAGGAACCACCTCCATCGTCGTCAATCTCCTCCAGTGACCCGTCCTCCTGTCATCGCTTGATTTTCTTGGTGTTCCGCCGGTGCAGATCTGTTTCCTCGGTAGAGATGGGTTTACCCTCTCTTTCTCTCTCTAGCTCCATTTTTGTTTTAGGATCTCTCTCTCAATTATAATTTATTTCTCACGAAGTAAATAAAAGCAATGACATTGCTGTATGTAAATCAAAAGTATAAAACATGCAGCGGAATAAAATGTTTAGATCATACCTTTTTTTTTTTATCTAAAACCTCGTGGATAAATCACGTGCTTCCAGAATCTAATCAATCAATCAATCCCAGCAGTGGGGTGATATTACAATGGTGAATATTACCCACACAAACCACAGTGCAAATGGCTTTTGATCGTTATTTTGGGAGAGAGTCAGTATCATGAAAAAAAAAACAAACATACGTTGTTTTTCCACTTTATCACCCATATCCCATATGTCAGATATATAATCTATTTATCTCCATTGGTTAAATGAGATAATATCTGATATCTATATCATCTATCCATATCATGATATGATTAGATATATATCCTGAGTGGCTATCCAAATAGTTTGAATTCAAATTCAAAACCCATTTGGATGAGGTTCAAAAGGTCTAAGGGTCATGCCACATGGGCGCCCAATTTCTAACATCTCCCACTCGGACATGAGTGGCATGCACTGCCACGTCTCAATCTCAATCTCCCCAAAAATAAACAATCTCATACTAGCCACTGCACCGTGCGACTGCTGAGAACACCTGCATGTGGGAGCTCTATTACTAGAACTCAAAAAGAGCCAGCATAGAGACATCAACCAAAAAGAAAGAAATAGTGTCTCATATTACCCCAGACCATTAATTACACCGGTCCAAAAAACTCTTAATCCCTTCAAAAGAGCATGTTTGACCCCTCTCAATTCTGTGCAATATATTCACACTAATTCGCCTTCTATACAGAGCGATGTGAGTGCGGCCAGTGAATATACAAACAGTGGTGTAATACTAGATGATCGTTCCTGTTGCACTCATGCCATTTAGTTTAGGGATTGACCGCTTTCCCAGTAATGTCCCTTAAGGCTGAAATCATGCACTGACCGCAGGCACAACAATTACAAAGTAGCAGAACATTCAACCCCTTTACTCTTATGACATAGTCAAAAGCACAAAGGGTAATACAATGAAATAGTCATATCAATAATTGACACGTAGACTCACACGGTGAGGATAGCAGGGATCCATCTCCTACTCTCATACTCGGTCGCCAAGCACATATTAGTATGGATACATGCTACGATGGAGTAAATCTTCCATAAAGAGTTGAACGTCATGTACTCGATATACCGTACAGATATTAGCTCTAGTGCTTACTTTAGCGCCTAACCCGAATTTCTCTATTTGCTCGCCTTCTAGCGCTAAATGACGACCGAATCTGGCTAATCATAACAGGCAACAACATGGAAAGTGGGTACTAACATCCATGTTTGCGTCCTTAACCGACCTCATCTGGTTATAACCAAGGACATACATAGTGGATGATTTTAAGGCCCTCTCTTGGTCCAAATAAAAATAAACCACCAGTCCTCATCCCTTGCTCGGCTCCCAAGCGCCAATGGGCGATTTGGCTCGT